CCTAGCACTCTGGGAGGCTGAGGCAGGAGGATCGTTCAAGGTCTGGAGTTTGAAAGCTGCCTGAGCAAGAGCGAGACCCCGTCTGTACTAAAAATAAAAAGAAATTAATTGGTCAACTAAAAATATACAGAAAAAAAAATTAGGGGGGCATGTGGCGCATGCCTATAGTCCTAGCTACTCAGGAAGCTGAGGCAGAAGGATTGCTTGAGCCCAGGAATTTGAGGTTGCTGTGAGCTAGGTTGACGCCATGGCACTCTACTCTAGCCCAGGCAACAGAGTGAGACTCTCTCTCAGAAAAAAAAAAAAAGTAAAAAAACCCCAAACAACCCTCCCCCCCCATTTACACCCTTCGGAAAGTCTATGCCTTTACCAGACGTGCTAACACCCTTGGCTAATGCCCCAAATTCAGAAGTAATTTTTCTCTTTTATCACATTTTTAAAATAAGATATTGACACATGAAAAACAATGGTAGCTCTCTGTATCCATGGGTTCAACCAATTGTAGACTGAAAATATTTAGGGAAAAAAATGGATGTCTGTGTCCACACTGCTGAGCAGAGTTTCTTCCTTGACATTATTCCCTAAACAACACAGTATAACTATTTACATAGCATTTATGACATATCAGGTATTACAAGTAATGACCTGAGATTGATTTAAAGCATATGGGAGGGCTGGGTGCCGTGGCTCACGCCTGTAATCCCAGCACGCTGGGAGGCCGAGGTAGATGGATCATTCAAGGTCAGGAGTTCAAGACCAGCCTGAGCAAGAGCCAGACCCCCGTCTCTACTAAAAATAGAAAGAAATTAATTAGCCAACTAAAAATATATAGAAAAAATTAGCCTGGCATGGTGGCGCATGCCTGTAGTCCCAGCTACTCGGGAGGCTGAGGCAGCAGGATTGCTTGAGCCCAGGAGTTGGAGGTTGCACTCTAGCCTGGGCAACAGAGTGAGACTGTATCGAAAAAAAAAAAAAAAAAAACTATATGGGAGGATGTGTTTAAGTTATATGCCAATACTAAAGCACTTTATAAGAGGAACTTGAGCATCCGTGGATTTCAGTATGTTGTGGGGGTGGTCCTGGAACCAATTCCCCCATGAATACTGAGGCACCACCGTATGCAGTAAATACAAGTTACAAATACTCAGAGGAACTCACTCGAAGCATTCCTTTCACTCATGAGGAATTCTTGGCAGCTTTTCTTTCATCCCACTCAGCCAATTACTCACTTAGCTCCACTGGGTCCACCTATAAATCACCCACACCTGCTTCTCCCCAACCCTGCTGCTACTCTCAGGCCAAGTATTACCACCTTTACCCTGAATGCTACCGTGGCTCCCTGCCTGCCTCCACCTGTGCTGTACCACAGTTCTTTCTTCACAAGCCACCCAGAGGGAGCAGTAAAAAACAATGTTATACCCCCTCTTGAGAATGCAAAACAGTCCCTTCATAGCTAATGAGACCCTGACTCTGCCAAAAAACGTGCACAGCTTTATACTTGTTACTTACCCCTTGCACACAGGGCAACTTTCTGTTCTTCAAAATAAGCTCTTTCCCATCTCATGGTCACCACGAATGGTGTCTTCACGCCTGGAAGCTCTTTCACCACCACTCTTACAATCTACAGACCATTTTCCCTCAGGAACTGGCTTAAATCTCATGCTGCAGTGTTCCCTGACTACCTCCTCTTGAGTAATTTCTCACTGCTCCCCCCTTTCCACTGTGCTGTTTTCCTTCTCAGTACTTACCTTAATTGTTCATATCTGTGCATCCTGTTTATAAAAGGCCATCATCTTTAAAACTATGAAATCTACAGTGGCAGGGTTTATATAAGGGCTTTGGTTTCTCACACAAGTGTTTAGTATACTGCGTGGGACAGAAGAGACCCTCTATAAATATTTGTGAGGTAAGAGATGGGGAAGGAAAGGAAGGAAAACATCTAATAAAGGACTCTTTCTGTAACAGAGCAGAGATAAACCGGGCACCCATCACCTCAGGGCTACCTCCCTGACGAGCCTCCCCTCACGTGGTCTTTCACTCTGGGATACCACCCCCCAATCTGTCACCTGTGGAACCTGCTCTCCCTAGATGTATAGAACCAAGGCATCCACAGTGACCCACACAGCAGCTAGACTTAGGGAACTACATCCAAAGTACACAGCCTGGAAGTTTTCCCATGCAGGATATGGGACTTAAGTGCTAGGGAGGATGAAAAACAGACCTGTCCCAGCCAGAGTAATCCAGAACCATAAAGACCAGAAGGGACATGAGGAGGCTGGGTGATCCAGGGGAGAAACCAGAGAACACAGAAACCACCATAGGCAGATCCAAGGTGCTTGCACTGCAGTACTTTGTAGGGGAGCTATAGTTTAGCGACCAGTGCCAATGGTTAGAAACATTTTCAGTGAAGGGAATGGAAGGACTTTGTTGAAAAGAAAATCAGAAAACATTTATGTTAAGCCATCACACTGAAACATGGAAAAATCTGAAATAGGATTGAAAAAAAGGGCTGGGTGCAGTGGCTTACGCCTGTAATCCTAGCACTCTGGGAGGCTGAGGCGGGAGGATGGTTCAGGGTCTGGAGTTTGAAACCAGCCTGGGCAAGAGCGAGACCCCATCTGTACTAAAAATAGAAAGAAATTAATTGGTCAACTAAAAATATACAGAAAGATAAATTAGGGGGCATGTGGTGCATGCCTATAGTCCCAGCTACTTGGGAGGCTGAGGCAGGAGGATTGCTGAGCCCAGGAGATTGAGGTTGCTGTGAGCCAGGCTGATGCCACGGCACTCACTCTAGCCTGGGCAACAAAGCAAGACTCTGTCTCAAAAAAAGAAAAAGAAAAAGAAAAGAAAAAAAGAAAAAAAGAGGGGGAGGGGGTCACAGAGAATCCAGTGAACAGAGACAGTGTGAACAGATCATCATCAAAGATGGGGGCCAGGTACAGATTTCACAGCTCAATACTGCCACAAGTGGATAGTTCCAATGGCACCTGAATCAGAGCACACAGAACAAAGAGAAGGGAAAGCATCCAGTGTGCTTTGTAGCCAGCACACTGACAGAAAAGCTGAAACAGATAGCAAACAAAGAAAAAACCATCTCCCCAAAGTAATTTATGAGTACTGACAGGAAAATCCTAAAAATAAGTCAACAGACTCCAGTAGCACATTACAAAGGGCAGTTCTGTCTATTATGATCCAGTGTTAACTGCTTAAAGGAAAAAAATCCCTGTGACCACTTTGGTAGGCTCTGGAAGGGAAACTGGAGATGTTACTGATTTTTGTTCATTAGAAAAGACTAGATGACTGTTTCTTCATTCATATAAAAACTGATTTGAATCAAAGCAGAATCCAGTGTCATGCTCATCAAAACCCAAAAACTTTACCCATTTAAGTCAGGAGACTAGGCATCCACTGTTAACACTCACAGCTTCACAATGCTTTGGAACTACCACCCATGATGAACGCAATTACATGATGGAACAAAAAAAGTAAAAAGAACAGAGGAAGAACCTACACACACCACATTAAAGAGGAAATTCCACATAAACTGAACTAACCAAAAAGCAAATTAAAAATACCAGAAACCACAAAAGTATCTGCACTATTTGCCTACGTATGATACAAAACCTAGAACAGGAATAAAGGCAGACTTGAAAAGAAAAAAATACTTTAAGTTATAAAAATTCTGTACAGAGACTACATAACGGTAGGAGATAAATGTTGGTTTGGGATTTCCATATTAACATCCAGAATATGTAGTTTCCACATACACACAAAAGAGATAAGAAAAAAAAAGGGGGGGGGGAATATATGAATTCACAAAAGAAAAAATACCAATAGTCTATAAATTTATAAAATACATGCAACTTTGTGAGCTGTGAGGAAAATGTGAACTAAACTGAATGTGCTATTTTTTGCCCAGCAGATCTTAAAATCTTAAAAAGACCATTAAAATTCTGCTGGTGATGGAGGGGGAAAAGAGCATTCACGTACTCAAGCAGCTATATGTATTTTACAGAATTTTAGAGGGCAATTTGTTGCTATCAAATTTTTAGTTACATATTAGTTATCCTGCAGTTAACTGATGTTAGTGCTTTAACTTCATGGTTTTCTTGCATAGTTAACTGATGAAACCTATGGTTGCCACCATACCTGCTAAGGCGGCCTTACTTGTGGATACTGTGCCCTCGGGCCACATGATTGGTATAACTCCTTGGATTTGATCTAGGGAGAATGTTACCTAATTTATGACAAATACATTGAGCTCCAGTATCAAAAACCACAAACAGATAAATAAATAAATCCAACCTACAGAAAAACCAACTTGTATGGGCAAAAAAAATGTATACAACGAAGTTCCTTGTAATAACCTGAATGAAAAATCAAATGTGGACTACACTGAAGTTTTTAAAAGGAATAAAGTAGACCTGTCTGCACTGAGTATGGTACACTTCCAAAATAGATATATAAGTTTACACACATACATGTAAATCCATAAAGCAGGCGTCCTCAAAGTACAGCCCGCGAGCCACATGCCACCCGCTAAGGACATTTATCTGGCCCGCTGGGTATTTTTGCCTCTGCTACCTGTCCTGCTTAGCAGCCGACACATCCCGGGCTCATAGTGCGCACTCTCCAAGGGTCTGAGGGACAGTGAACTGGCCCTTTGTTTAAAAAGTTTGAGGACCCCTGCCATAAAGCCTGGCTGGAGATCCACCAGAGTTAATAGTGATTACATGAGGGGAAGGCAACCGACAATGAATGGAATGCTGTGAGGGAGCCCGTGTCACTTGCCACCAGCAACAGGTTCACTTTTAACAAAGCAGGACACTTCTAGCTCTGGGGCCAGAGAAAAACTTGGAGTTTGGTTCTGCATATCCGTGGCTGCTTATTATAGCACTCCACGTGAGGTCTCCCACCCTCTAGCTCTTTTTCAAAATATTGGTCCCTGAGTTATCAGTTGGTCCATTCCCCATGGGGACTTCCCATATGGTTCTCACCTGGAAAGGTGTCTTGAGGAATTCCTCTCTCCACCAGCCAGAATTCTTCTGCCTCCTCTAACTGAGATACCACATCTGGCTTGGAAAGCTGATGTTCTGCTCAAAGGAAAAGAGACAGAGCTTGGGGGGGAGGTACGAGTTTGGAAGAAAATGTTGTCCTGCTCCAGTACAAGCTGTTCCCACCTTCTTCCCTGCTATGGCATAACATAATTTCTAGTGACCACAACCCCATTCATCCCCTTTGTTGGCTTTTTGGGACTCTCCTGCTAGAAAAGGTGGCAGTGAGGCCCAGTTTTGGTCACCCTGACACAAAGGGAGATGAGTCAGCTGGGGGTGTTCTGGGAAAGCTTTTGCTTGCTTGCTAAATGATATAGCTGTGCATGAGAGCTGGCCACGGATGCCCCCCCCCCCCGTTCTGCGTTGAATACAGACACGTTTGGAGCCACAACCATACAATGACTAGCCAGAAGATGGAAAGGTTCACAGTAACCAGAGATAGAAGGAATCAGGTTCTTTGACGATACTCCTCAGCTGCTGGATATTGGCACCACATCCTCTGGAATTCTTTTTATCAAAACAGGAAGCATCCACTACTATAGCTGAAAACATCCCTGACAGACCTATCTCCCTGGTATTCAGGGGCTTTGAGGGATGTATTAGGTGATGCTTCAGCAGTCATAATAAAAAGCTGCCCTTTTCCTTCAAGTACAAAGTTAAGCCCTCTCCCTTAGGCTCCAGGGCCTTAACACTTCCACTCACTCTATTCCTGCAGTCTAAGCCCAAGTAGACCCACACTTCAAAGGTGCTACATTTGTGCCCCAAAGTGCAGATCTTTATTCACGTGGAGGTCAGCCTTACCCACTGAGACCAGGTTCCTGTAGTTCTCCAGCATCACTTCCCTGTACAGGGACTTCTGTTTGAGGTGCAGCAGTCCCCACTCTTCCCTGGTAAAACCCAGTGTTACATCTTCAAAAGTCACAGGTTCCTAAAAATCCACAGATTTTTGTTCAGCCAGAGTCTGTTCTCATCCATGGCTAAGACAGATAGGGGAGGCTGACAGAGGCCATTAAAGCACAATTCTGTGCTTTACAGAATTGTGTACAAGATGAATTTGTCTACAAGATGACCTAAGAGCATTCTGGGTGTCACATCTTGAGTTTCTGTCTTTGTCTGAAGCCCTGAGAAAACACCTAAGTTTGATCCTATTCAGATCACAGCAAGAACACCACAAGACCTTGCTGGTGTATGAAACGCCCTCTTGCCCCAGAGCACGCCAGATGCCCATTTCTTGTTAATCTAATGTGTATGCTTCCTAGGGAATTCCCTGAGCTGAATCATCACACCCAAGACTTCAGCCCCTATTGTTTCTACCTCATTTACTCGTCAGGGATCCACTCCCATTCTCTTTTCCCCTTGCTGCTGAACTCAGCTCCTGTTACCTCTTGCTTGATGCCAAAATACCTGTTGAAATCTAAACATAACCATCATCCCTACTTAGACCTGTCAATTATTCCACCCAGTACAAGGCTTCCACTGAATCGCCTTAACTTGGCCTTTAGAATTCCCCATAATCTGGCCTCTAATCTAACCACACACTTGGAAAGCAAAGCAACCTGTAGTTGCTCCATCAAGCAGGGTTTCCCATGTCCAACCAATCCCTTTGGGGTGCTCTCCGGCAACGAGGACATCTCAGGGAAGGTGGCCTCCCATAACCACCCACATCCCTGCCCTCAGATGAAGGGGTGGACTCAAAAGCTAAAAAGAGCTTCTACTCACACAGGACCAGGTCGTCGGAAGTCTAGAGGCCATACTTCTCTCCTCCTCAATGTGTCTCTTGTGGCAGAGTCCTGAGAAAACCAAAGTTGGGACCGGGAAGAGGTGTAAGGGATACGCCGGGGGGCTATCCCACCTCTGCTCAGAATGGGCTCCATCAACGCGGAATGACAAGTCCACCCCCACATGGGAAAACGCCCAGAATGAATCATCACCCTTACTCCCAAATGACAGGACGCGACCCTGGCCGACAGTAACGCGCTCCTCCCCGCCCCCCGAGGGTTGTCCACCCTCCCCATGTCCCACGCTCCCAGGGGCAGCCCGATCCCGCACCCCTCACGCCCGGGGAGAGCCACTTCCCCTTGGGGTTCCGGGTCACCTCCCACGTCCCACACCAAGGCGGGAGAGCGGCAGGCAGGGGCGGCTCCGAGCTCTGGAGCTCCTCAGAGAAGGGCCCGAGGCTGCGCTCTCCGCAGAGGAGCTGCCCCACCCCCGGACGCGCAGCCCCCGACAGGCGCGAGTTTCGCGCCCTACTCACCCGGCGCGCGCCGCACAATGGCGCCCGTTGGCCCGCAGCAAAGTGCGTCAGGGCGCCGGTCGGACTACAACTCCCAGACGCCCCCGCGGCGCGGCCGCGCCGGCCTCACCCCGGCGGCGGCCATCTTGTCCGGCGCGCTCGGGGTGGCACGCGAAGCCATGGCGGCAGGAAAGGGGCACTGGGCAGTGCCCTTTGGCGGTGCGACTGGACAAGGGGAGGTCTCTGGTAAGGAACGCTAGGCTGTAGTTACCCAGCACCTCCGCGGGCGGCGGCTCAGGCTGAGAGACAGTCGGGTCCCCCACGAAGACGACCCTGGTGGGGCAGACCGGAAGCTGGAGAAAGTAAAGACGCGGGAAGGGGGGTCAAGCCGGAAGTACTGCAGTGGGTAAGGCGGGAGGGGGAAGCAAGGGGGGGACTCATTGTGACGTCGCTTTGGGGCGGGGGAAGGGCTGGCCAGGCCGGAAGTCTAGGGGTGGGTCTAGAGGCCACCATGCTGCACCCTTGTTGGGGGGTTGGCGGGGAGTCTGTGGGAGGCAGAGCGACAGTCCCCCCCAATTTGTTGGGGCAGAGGGAGAGACATAACTGACAGGTGTGAGGGGAGCGCTGGGTGGTGCTGAAGGCCCGCCCATTTGAAAGGACAGGAGGGAGCGGCAGGTCTAGGAGGACAGGAGGTGTGCTGGAGTTGGGACTAAAATCTGCAGGTGCCAGGGAGGAGAGGGGCGGGCCTGCCCGGGAGTGACAGTGGGCGGGGCTAAAGACCGTGGTGGGGGAGGGAAAACTGGGCGGAGGGAAGTGGGAAGGGAGCGGGCCACGTGTCTATCCTGGTTCTGGGGAGCAGAGGGAGGACAAGGGGAGGGGCCAGATGTCCCCCAGTCCCAGGGTAGTTGGATCTACCATGTTTCCCGGAAAATAAGACCTGCCCATAAAATAAGCCCTAGCAGGATTGCTAAGTATTTGAGCAATATAAGCTCCACCCCGAAATTAAGACCTAGTGATGCCCGTGGCTATGCAGCGCATCTGCACAACGCATGCATTTCGTCGGGAAAGAAGAGAGCAGCCCTTCTCATCTGCCCCATGAGAGCTCTGTGGCTCCACATGAGAGATTTGGGCCAATGGTTCTAAAGGAAATAGAGTCACAGGAAATTCGGGATGGAATTCGGGGTTTGGAGAGTTATGATGATGTTCCAGAAGAAGACGACTTCACTCTATTTGAATCAATGTTGATTGTTGTGCCATACTTAAAAAAATAACACATCCCCTGAAAATAAGCCCTCGGGTGTCTTCTTGAGGAAAAATAAATATAAGACCTTGTCTTATTTTTGGGGAAATAGTAAGTGTCCACACAAGTTCTGGAGAGAAGATCAGGATGAGTTGTACCTATGGCATGTGGTGGGAGTGGGCTGGCCAAGGATCCTCTGGCCAGTGCTCTACTGAGGTTGAGTTTGCTGCTGGGAGCCCCTGTACTCGAGGAAGAGGAAGAGGAAGCTACAGTTTGTAGCTAGGTGTGGTGTCTGCCGATCTTCCTTAGGCCCATGGTGCTCTCATCTACCCTGGGAGCCCAGGACAAAGATTTACTCTCTTGGCTTTTTGAGGAATCTGCATGTGGTGTTTTCTCATCTTCTGTGGGTCCCAGGGCCAGGTGTGGTCTTTTTTTTTTCAAGGAACAAATCTGCAGGTCCTGGTGTGGTCTTGTCTTCCTTGAGGCCTGGGGCTAGGGGCTCTGATGTACTCTCTTCTTGGGGCTCAGAGCCCACAGTAATCTAGCCTCTTCTGATGTAGGGCTCTGTGTACGCTCCTCTCCCTTGAGAGGAGGTCTCAGCAGTCCTCTGCTTCCCTCTAGTGGTCATGTACGCTGCCTGCTAAACTTGTTCCAGGAAATGTTAATTTTTTTTTTTTTTTTTTTTTTTTTTTTGAGACAGTCTCACTCTGTTGCCCAGGTTATATAGTGCCACGTCGTCAGCCTAGCTCACAGCAACCTCAAACTCCTGGGCTCAAGCAGTCCTTCTGCCTCAGCTTCCTGTAGTCCCTCCTGTAGCAGGGACTACAAGCATGCGCCACCATGCCTGGCTAATGTTTTCTACATATTTTTAGTTGGCCAATTAATTTCTTTCTACTAGAGACGGGGGTCTCGCTCTTGCTCAGGCAGGTTTCGAACTCCTGACCTTGAGTGATCCGCCTGCCTCGGTCTCCCAGAGTGCTAGGATTACAGGCCTGTGAGTTACCATGCCCGGCTTGGGTTATTAATTTTTTGGTCACTGTGGAGGGTCCACCCTCAGACTGCACATTATTTATCTTAATTGTTGTTGCAGTTAGTAAGTCTGTTGATTTTTTCATGTTAATATTTTCTAAGAGACCAGGCAGATGTCTTTTATTCTTGTATTTCCTTGGATTTTTCTTGGCCTCTTCCTTTTCCACATTTCACTTTTAAAAAAACTAACGTTGTATAGTCCTGCCCAATGCAACAGATCCATGTTAGTCATGTTTACTAACAATCATTCTTGTTTTGGATATGAATGAGGATATTTCAAGTTAATGAAGGCCTCAAGCAAGTAAGCCCCCGTGGAAATTTTTAATTATTTCTTTCTGTTTATATAGTATAGGAGAAAAACGTGATTTTTGGTTAAAGGTGGCTTTAAATAAGTGTGTTACTAGAGATTGACTTATGAAAGCCGTTTTAATGCAACTTACAATAATTGCATATTCTTTTTCCTATTTAGCAAATTAAACATGCTGTTTACTGTAATATAATTTGTATGAAAACATAATTTCTGAACAAATTTAACTTTTATACATGTAAAATGTCAAAAATGTTATGTGGCCGGGCGCGGTGGCTCAAGCCTGTAATCCTAGCACTCTGGGAGGCCGAGGCAGGAGGATTGCTCAAGGTCAGGAGTTCAAAACCAGCCTGAGCAAGAGCAAGACCCCGTCTCTACTATAAATAGAAAGAAATTAATTGGCCAACTAATATATATATATAAAATTAGCCGGGCGTGGTGGCGCATGCCTGTAGTCCCAGCTACTCGGGAGGCTGAGGCAGAAGGATTGCTTGAGCCCAGGAGTTTGAGGTTGCTGTGAGCTAGGCTGACGCCACGGCACTCACTCTTCACTCTAGCCTGGGCAACAAAGCGAGACTCTGTCTCAAAAAAAAAAAAAATGTTATGTATCTTTTTTGGTTCAGAAACATACATAGTGCCCTGATCCCGTGTTCAAAGCCTTCAGGGCCAGAAGTATTTTGGAATTCACAATCAGTTGGATTTTAGTTGGAGAGTAAGGTACATCTAGCACACAATATGTAACATCTCTAGCAGGTCTGAGGTAGTGCCTGGCCAACAAGCACATGAATATGACTGTAGCAAAATACAATAAGGTTTATACTAGTTTAAAGAAAGACAAAAGTATAAATAGCCTTGTCAGTTCATATATATTTGGCAGGTTCATAACAGGGAGAAATTTTTCATTAGAAAAGGTTTTGGAATTTTAAATTGCAGAGAAGGCAGAAGAACATTGTGGATCATAGAGAAAAATGGCTGGATTAGCAATGGTAATTGTTTCAGTCAATTGTAAAGTTTAATATTCACTTTTCCTCTTAATGTAGTTCACATAGACACAGGTTTTTTGAGATACTGATAAATCAAAATATATGCATATTCTTGGATATCCTTTCTTTAATGTTGTACTTTTGGTTTATATGAAATAGCATATGACTAAGAATAAGATATTTAAAACTACAAGCTGGCCCAAACCACTGTGGCAACTGTTGAAGTTCAGCTGAGTCCTAAAGCACCCACGCAGCTGAATCATGGACCACTAATTAGATCTTCGTTCTCCATTCTCTGTCTTTGTTTCATCATACAGAGCATCTTGTTTATTGCTCAAGTTATTCCATGTGATGGGTCCACATGTTTTAAAATCATTTTTAAAAAGAAGAAAGATATATCTTTTCATCTTTAAAATGTGAGCCTCCAGGACACATTTCTGAACTCCTCAGAGCTTGAGAACTTCAGATTGGAGAAGTATGGGTACATTAACTAGTGTTTTACCTGTAAATTATTAGTATCATAGCTTTTTCCCAGAAAAGAAGCTCTTTGGTTTATTTATTACTGCCATTCATTTATTCTTTGCTCATTTCTCCCAATATCAGAGATAAAGTCAACGTCAAGATAATCCACACTGGACATAACACATGGGAGAAAAGCACAGAGTCTGAGCTCTGAGCAGAGGCTGCCCACAAATAGCCTCCAGAAAATGGCCTGTCTCAAAGAAGAATTCAGAAATCCCAAACCAAAGGCAGGTTTGAAATAATCCAGTTCACACATTTGCACCCTGTTTCCTCTAGAGTGGGGTTGGTTGTAAATAAATGAGAACCCTAATAATCAACACTGTTTTCTCACAGAATAGAAAATCATCAAGTTGGTGGTTTCTGGTGCCAATTAAACTGCCCATTGATGCCATCTAGGACTGGGCTCCCACGTTTCCTCTTGCTGTCCTCAGTGTGGGGGCATCTTGTCCTTTGGCCACTAGGGTATAGACAAGGAACAAGCCAGCCAGTCACTTCCTGCTGGTCCTGAACACAACTCATCTCAATATTTCTCTGCTTTAGGAAGTCAGTCTTTTCCTTCCTGATGAAAATTGACTCCCACCCTTCTTAAGTCTTGTTCTTGTTTACTCCTCTCTTCAGCAACCATGGATGGCTATATACATCAAAACAAAATCTTCTCTCAGCAATATTAATTTTAGAATTTCTAGATGTTCTTGTGAATGCAAATAAGATATGAAACAGACTTTACGTGGTGTAACTATTGGAGAAAAACATAAAAATACATTTACTAACAAACAACATTAACATACTTTAAAAAACCCAACTGAAAAATTTGCAGTGAGATAAGCCAGACAGAATAAGAAATAAAAATGCACAGGTCAGGACACACAAATGCACACACAGAATCTCTATCACCT